TTATCTTATTCTGTACATAAAAGGTAAGATCATTGAAAGATGGCTGTTTTAAGACATATTATGATTTATATTAAAATGTAAAACATTTAAACTAACAATTATTAACAACTACTAAACATTCATTTTCTTATAGAAGACTCAATTAATGTAGCTAAAAACATAGAGTTCAATTTAAAAAATGATAGTAAATTTTATATGTGCTTACAAACACACACATACACGCGCGCGCATGATCTATATAAGTTAAATATATGTATGTATTTAACTTGTATGTGCATTTTCAATAAAAATTAATCTTATAATTCATCAAAATTTACCTGCTATTAATCTTTTCATATAACACATTTGATTGGCGTTACATTTAATTTTTATAACATATCTTTAATTTTTTCGTAAATTAAAGAAACGACTCGTTATACTTTATCATACTATGCTCTTGAATATAAATGATATTACAAATGTTATTACGAATGATATTACAAAAAAGTAAATTTATTTTCAGATATAAAAAAAGTCATACTATTTTTGGCATTTTTCATATTATGCTATATATAGGAAGACTAGAAGTCTTGATAATCCATTAATTATTAAAATTGTTCCTAGAATTGTTGATGAAACCAACGCACTAAAAAAAGAATATTTTCAAATATTCTTTTTTATAACCAAAAATATTTTCAAATATTTTTGATTATGAATTAACTTTATGACTAACTTAGAAAATGATTTTCTCATTCAGAGACTTTCTTTCTTTCATATTATTAATACTTGTCTTTTTTAATTTCAAAAATCTAATATCTTTATCAATTTATATTTAAATTAGAGATCCTGATATAAATCCTGATAATTTCATAGTAAATTGTAAATTACTTTTATGGCGATACAACTTAAACAATAAAAAATATATATATATATATAAATCAAAAGATTTCTATCACTTAAATAATGAGATAATCATATTATTCTTATTTCACGGTCTCTTTCTTATTTTTATCTTTACCATACATAGCATCTAAAAATAAACCTGAAAATACTATACATGTACTCAACCATTGTCTAGAAGAAAGATTATTGCCAAAAATTAATATAGAGCCTAAAACAGTAAAAAATTTTCTAGTAGTAGTTATAATTGAACATGGCAATGGACCGAATTCAGCTACTGTTAGAAATATAAAATATTGTCCAAATGCCCCAGCTATGGAAAATGTCATTATATGCCAGATAACAGATGGATACCGTTGTAAAAAATAAATAAATTCCATAAGTTCTCCAGAACCAAGAATTACTATGCTACTAAAGATAACAGACCAGAGATTCATATTAAGCATCATATGACCTGACTTTGAATTATATTCTGCTCTCATTCGTTCTTGTATTGCACTTGTTAATCCATCCATTGTCAATGATAATAGTAACAATAATTCTCCAACTGATAATTGTGACTCTGTTTGTTTTTTGGAGATATTACCATCCTTATACATAAATAATGCAACTCCAATGACAATCAAGAAAATAAATATATATTTTCTAACTGGATATACCTATAAAAAAACATGATAAATTATATATATATATATATATATATGTACACACACATACATACATACACAAACACACATATACAAACATTATATGTGTGTGTATATATATATATATATATAAAACAAATAATCTTAAATTATCGACAAATATCCTTAACAAATATAAACTTGTCAAATTATACCTTTTTTCCCAATAGTACACCAAGTATCATAACAGGAATAGGTTTGCCAGCTTTACCAATCACCTGTGTTGGATAACTGACAAATTGCAATGCCATGTTACTGCATACCATGGCAAGAAGATATGTCAAGGCAGATAATGAATAATACCAAGTCGATGTGGTATCTTCGCCTTGCTTCATTACTGTTAGTAAAATTGTTTTAGCAAATATGTAATTCACTAAACACTGGGTGAAAACCAATGCAAACATATATGTGAATTTCTCTCGATTTTCTCCGTCGCCGTATTGTCCACGTGTGATTTTCTCTTGCAACATACCAAAGTAGAAATAACACACAAATATGCCGGCCGCACATATAAGTAGTTTGGTATTAAAAAGGGCCATTTTTTAAAAAATAAAATCATGTAAAATGCACTAGACCTGTCCTCTCACGTGTGATCTATGTTATCTCAGCGAAATATGCATACGGCACAGAATACAGAACGCGACTTGTACGTGGCGGGCAGCGGTAGATTCACCGAAATATAGCTATATTGGAAGAGGCTCTGCCATATGATATTCATGCACGGAAAACGTGCCTGAGACAGATAGATGTTTCAACATACATTCCGAACCATGGTGTAAAGAAACAAGAGGTTTGTTTTTTATTCCTGAACTGGTTGTACTAACTGGTTGTACTAAGTTCACAGTTTATCTTTCTTTCTTACACTGGAAGAAGAAAGATAAATTCTAAACTAGCGCAGCCAGTTCAGCTAAAAAGAACCAGACCCAAGGTGTGCTCTTGCACATGAAAATGAGGATGGACCAATGAGGTGGTAACAGTAGCCGGCCATATTAATATATCAGCCAATCAGCGTTTTTCTCGCGATATTCAAAATGTAGTATAAATAAGAGAAGGACAATTAATAAATTTATTTAATTAAGAACTACTATTGTGACTTTTATTATTAATAATTATTAAATTCTCTATTATCAAATCACATGTCACATAGTCACCAATTTGTTTATTTTATTATTATTTTCCAATATGGAAGGCGACTTGTTCCAATGCCATATCTGCGCAGAACGGATCCAAATTGAATCTACCTGACGAGCACTTGTCTCCTTAATCCTGGTTTAGATGATTAAAGCCATAAGAAATCGACCAATCATAGTCGAGTATTCTTCTATTCTTTGACTATGATTCGTCCATTTCTTATGGCTTAAATCACTTATTGTAGACCGGGACTTACACCATGCCCGGGCCCCAGGGCCCCATTAGTGAACACGAAATTTGCTTACGATTGTCAATCTTTAATAATATTTCATCGATGGCTGAACGCAGCCTTTCTTTGACTGATCTTCGCACATTACATGTTGATTTAGTTCAGTTTGGGGCTGATTGCAACGGATCGGAATGAGTTGAGTAGAATATTTTCGGGCACTACTATTGAAATTATCGAGTCATTGCGGGTTGTTTATCAAGAGCATAGTGAAAAAAATTTGTTCACGCATTATATAATTCAATGCAACTCTACGGATATGTACAAATATATGCATCACTCTAAATATGTGTAATATATATATATATATATATATATATATAATACATGTGATGAACGTGAAAATTATTTCATGTTTACTTTTATTCGGAAAATAATTTATTACTTTATAATTTCGTCGAACTCAAAAAAAAATCTATTTTTAACTGTGTCATGTTTATACATTCTTTCTATTCTTGGAACGAAATAGATATAATTCAGAAGTTCTCAGTATATTTTCAAGAAAAGTATAAATTTTGCAATAAGAATATGTGTAGGAAATTGACTTTTATCAACGAACGACATTTTAATATAATTACAAACGAAGTACTTCTGAAATAATTCATCTCTTCTCCGTATTTTCTACATTTGCGCCGAATAATGATAAAAGAATAAAGATAAAGATATTTCATGAGGTTATCCTGCCGCATTGTGTGATGACAGTATACAACAGACTATTGATTTTCCCGCCAATTTCAAATCTTGCTTCACATTACCATCCTGAGATTTAAAAGACCAATTCGTCTTACAACGAAAATAATTGTATTTAAGAAACTAGAAACTAGTCGCTTTCATATTATAAATCTTACTGAGTGTTTCCTACGTAAATAAGATGTAAGCTATTTTCCAATGATACATTTATTTATTCCGTTCCATCGCATTATAATAAAATCAACATCTTTGATGTTTTAGTGCAACAATTTTTGCAATCTTTGTAAACTTGTGGGCTTTTAAATGGAATAATTTACAAAATAAATATCATGGGATGATAATAATATTGTGATGTAATTTTGATATAATTGCGGCACTTAGCAGTACATTTAAACTTCAATATTTTTTAACGATTTATATTTCTTATTAATTGGTAAAGATGATCGTCAAGAATAAATCCTGTCGAATGGTAAGTAATATTTATAAATGATCTTTCTCTTTCTCTCTCTCTCTCCTTTCCTCTTCCCCTTCCTTCTCTCATCCTTCTTTCCCTTATATATAAATACAAACTTTTATATATGTATAAATTTATATATAATATATATATATATATAT